GCCCCAGGATAAGCATAAATTCTTTGCTCACGTTGAAACATTTTGAACTCACATGGCCACGTCTCCACCTCAGTTTGCACAGCCCTGGGCAAATTAGCGTCTATTCGCCCCCACTCATGTCTTTCCATTGACTTTCCCTGCAATAGTGCCACCAGTAATTTTGCTTCACATTCTGTCTGAACACAGCTTTAATGTTGTTATTTTGCATTTACATGGATGGAAGTTATTGGAGATTTTGAATGTCATTTTGTTTTATAGGGCATTTTTTTACTGTGTTTCATAGCTGCAGTAGAGAAGGCCTGAAGGGAAAGCAAGAGTGTTTTATATATGAAACAGAAGTTGACCAGCCAGAATCTAACAAGAGACGTTGCAAATACATAGTAGACCACTAGGTCCTAATACGCAAGGGAATTGCATTGGTCACAAACATTTTCCCTAATACTACATCACTCAGTTGTATATTTCATCATTTAAAAGGAAAATTCACTAAAACTGTAAGACCATGTCAGCAACTCATTTGTTTATGTATTTATTGGTGAATTTGGGGAGTGTGATAATGTGAAATTTAAGGAAAAAACAGAAAGGCTATCAAATCCTACCTTTGATCTCTCAGAGGCAGCTTGCAAGTAGAAAATGGTAATCCTACGACTTCTAGAAAAAAGTAGATAAATCCCTCCTTATATGCTTTCAGTTACACTGACACTTACATTTTTAAAACACACATTGCAAAAATTTGCCTTTGAAGTCAGTGAAGTGCTCATTTTTTCAGTTCTGTTTTCAAGGAGAAGGCTGTTATGAATTAGAGGAGTTTGTGAATTATTATTTAACATCTACTGAATCCTCATTTGAAATATTTAGAGTGAAATGATATTGGAGTTTAGTGCTCTGCAGTGGTCAAACTGCGACGCCTCTATCAGTCCAAATGTAAACAGTTACATACTGTGTACACATTTTAAATAAATTGTTTGTCTAAAGTGCACTGCAGCATGGTTGGTATTACAGACCATGGAAATATTTTGAAACCAAAGGTACATTTTGTCCACACCATGGGTTTTCTGTTTATCAAAACCAACATGTTATAACTACCTAGTGCAACTAACAGGAGGAAATCAAATCAATGTGGTGCATGTTCCACTTTTAGACAAACAGAAATATTTAGGGTATAAATAGACAAGTGACTCTTTTCCCCAGTCAGTAATGTAGATGCATAACTCATTTACTCACTAAGATTGTAAACACACATGTATTGAATTAAAATTGTCTCAGCACAGAAGAAACTGGTTGTTTTCAGTCATTTTTGGGCTTACTATGTTGTTGAAATTCACAGTTTGATGTTTGACGGACAGATTATTCCAATTTGCACCCTTCAACTGAAATAGCACAAAGATCCTTTATAAGTATGAGGAAGATTACTGTATTTGTAGCTGTCTGAAATGATAAACTGTATATCTGCATGGTAGTGAAGCGCAAAAAAAAACCCAACAAGAAACGTATGTTTAATTTTTTACAATGTCTGACTACAGCTTATATATATTTATAACAGTTTATAGATGTACTATAGTTTTAATATACATAATTGAATATTCATTATCTGGTTGGTAATCCTCTCCCTGTAGGTCTGTCTTTATTGTTCCTCCAAACCATGAGAGCTGACCCAAGAGACAACCTATGTAAGTTAAAATAAGGACTGTTGCATTTATATTACGACCTATGTTTAAGCCTGAAAGGATGCCAAGATTATGGATGCATTAATTAGGGTTGTAGTGCACAAGACTGGTGTTGCATAGTTCTTATATGAGGATTTGTTTAATGTCCATTTAAGATAAATCAGCACAATAAATCAGATTAGAATAGTAGATTAGATATATACTTTATTGTCAGATTGCTCAGAAATGTTTCTTGCATCACAAGCCAACTCTGTTTCATATACATGAAAAAACAAAGTACATTCAAGTACCAGACAATCACACAAATAGAAAACTGCAGTGCATTTGATTTCATTGCTTGACATTCAATTTCAGACATACACAGTGATATGACCCCGGGTCACATTTGTTTTGATGAGACAGATCTCTCTCTATCCTTCCCTTACAGTGGGTGCATGTTTGTGTGTAAATGTGATGAATAACAGGTGGTGCCCTATGATTGGTCCATTTGAAGGGATAGCTGCCTATGGATTGGACCAACGGATGACTTCAGCCCTTTTAACCCCCCCAGATGAAAGAAACCTGCTCCTTCACCTCAACCACTTCTAACAATATGTTTTCTGTAAGCAGAGTAAACATATTCTGAAACATTTGTGTATGTATTTGTGTTGGGAATTGTTATAAATTATACACTGTAAATACACAGCACCTATAGGCAGTTTGTCAGGAGTGAGAGTGAGCCCTTTTTGTTTGTTGTTGTTGTTGAACATTTTTCTCTTGTTTTTCTGTTTAGGAGCTTAACTTAGAGACTTGTCATTTGTTTAAATTGTGTTTTTGTTACGGAGGTTTAGGGTTTGATTAGTTGTAATAGATTAGTTTTGTTTGTTGTCTTAACAGTTTATTCCATGCATCTTTATTCCTGGATGCTTGTAACTCCACTGCCAGACAAAAACATCAGTATTGGACAATTATGCAAAGCCCCAGATTATGTACAATGACAATGTTTTATGACGTCCATGCCGATATTTTTAAAATTCTCACTTTCTGTAATACCTGCACATGGCAACTAAAATATGGTTATGGTTATGGAAAGATTGTCATTATAAGGTTAAGATATGGTTATGTTTAGGCAACAAAAATACTAGATTAGGGAAAGAACTGAGACACAGACTTTTATTTGTTTTGTAGTTCCTCCTACACACAAATACAGATGAGAGTGGTTTTTAGTTTGTTGTAATCTGCAACTTCACTGCTAGATGTCACTAAATCCTACACACTGGTCCTTTAAAGGTTTTACACATCGATTGTACACGTCAGTCAGTTTACAGGTCTTGGTATATGGAGGCCTTTTGTTGCATGAAAACTGTAGTACACATAGCGTGAAACAGTGTTTCCATATTTGGCGGACTTAGTTTTTAGGTAACAAGCCAACAAACAAGCTAACCAGCTAGAGTTCGCTTACATAAATGCCAGAATAGGCCTACTGTATATAAATTTTGACTTTTAGGAAGTGCTACTGCCCCAATGTTACTGTTTCTGGAATGATAGTGATTTTTTTTAGATTGCAGTTTCTGTTAGATGGTTTGCAATCCCACATTTCTTTACACCTAATGTGGAAATTTCATGTCTACCTCGTGTATAGTAGATCCTCTACAACCTTGAGCCCTGTGCCTTGTCTTTTTCTGTTTGGCTTGGAAGAGGACAGAAAATAATAGGCGAATGTCAGTAAATGAACACGGCAAACAGACGGACCAAGAAATAAAATAGTGAATGAGGACTGATGATGAGGACTGGTCAGGGAAATGTATGTGCTCACAAGCCATTCATTTCCCAATCCCACATCCTTCGCATCTGCTCAATCTTCCTCCATTACACACCAGATGTAACCCCAGTGTGTGCAGCTCCGGTGTCATTTCCATCTGACACTTTGCTCTTACCTCTGGTGTCACTGGAAAATGACAAAACTGGAACCACAGCAGAACTTTCTGTTCCACACACCACAAGCAGAAAATTGCCCTCCTTTCACTCTTTTGGTTCTATTTCATCCAGCTGTAGCAAGACTGTATATTCGTGTTCATTCACTGAGATCCATGCCAGACCTTGTCAATTCTTTTCTGTGCTGTGGTACATCCATTGTGCAATTTATTCAGAATTTAAAAGAGACGTGGGAATAATGAGGTCTAATAGTTTGCATCTTTTTTTTTTACATAAATAAACTTGTCCTTGTTTGAATGGCATCTAATGTTAAAGTTGTGTGTTTTTTTTTTTGAATCAAACTGATCTGTGGCAGAGAGGGATTAGAAATCATTCCCCGACTTTCCTTAAAATGTCTCTAATCCCACTTAATTCTGTATTGGCTCCTGCACTGAGGCTGCTATCCCTGTGTTGTTTACTTAGGTCTAGTTTATTCAGATATAGCACCTGCCATCCCTTCATACCCACACAAATAAACCCAGAAACCACCTTCAAAAATACTTTCTCCTGCTATCTCTTTCATGCAAGTGCTACTATTTATGGGCTTTGTCTTTTCTGGCTGGATTTGTGTGTGTGTATGGGCGTATGTGTGTGTGTGTATACTTGTGAGTCTGTGCACATCACTTTATGCCTGTACGTGTAGTGTGTCTATATATATGCTATCATGAGAGAATGCAAATGAGAGAGAATTATAACTTGGAGTGTCGGCTTATTTGGAAATTTAAAATATATTTCAGCCTTTAAAAAATGAAGAGTGTGGCCTTTTTAGAAAACAAGCCAACTACCGCGCAGTAGTAGACTAGTAGAAGAGTTACCTGATCTCTTCATCAGCCTTGGTCAGCGCTTTAATCACATTAGAGCTTCACAAACTCGGCCACACGGGGTCTTTTAGATTTGCCATGCACTGTAAAAAAAAACTAGTTGTTTCAACTAACAAAAGTTAGTGTCCGGGCTGCCTTAAAATTTTAAGTTAGCTGAACTTGTGAAGCTTAGTTGAGACAATTGTGTAATGATTCAAAACAAATAAACTTTCTAGTCAAATAAACTTAACGTTTAGTTCACATAACTTAATCAAAATTCAGTTCCTATAGAATTCTTTAGTTGAGTCAACACAATCTTAATTTCTTTCAACTGGAATTCCAAAACTGTAAATAATGAATCTACAGTTCAGTCTACCTACAATATCTAGTTTACCTAACTTTATGTTATGTCAACTTCATTATACATTTATATTTGAGTCAACTTTCATAATTTAGTTCTGCTTAAGATTAAATTTATACTACATATTTGGTAATTCTCTTTCAACTTTATTTTAGATTATGCTTAAAGAACTTATCTCTATAGGTTATTGGTTGTTCCAAAGAAACCAAATCAATTCCAGTTCTTCAAAGCTTTAATAAACCAGATCGGCAAGGTAAATACATCAACACATCCCATCAAGTACAAAAGGTTTTGTCCCCAAAAACAACACAAGCTTATGGGTAAAACATCTCTTTAGAATGTGCACAAATGAGTACTCTCTACTCATTACTTCTGTCGCTGTCTTTCATAATGTGAAAAAAATATAAAATAAAATTATGCACACCCAAACGGGTCAAAAAGACTTTCCAGGAAAGACCTCAAACTTAAATTAAATTAAACTTAAATTCTTGCAACTGACAATGTCAGTGACCATTACAATAGTGGAACAGAACTGAAAAGAAAACTCTCAGTCTCAGTGTAGTGTCTACACAGTTTTACGAAGAAGTCTATTCCTCAGTCCATGAACCCTTGCAGAGCAGTGCTCACCGCCGATGTTCATGAGAATCTTCTGAATGGAAGTCAATGTTCAGTGCATATAGCAGACCCATTAACATAGCTACCGCATGCGAGTAGTCCTTGATGCCATGCAGAATGATCTGTTCCTCCAGGACCACCGAAATGTCAAGAAGATCCTCTCCTTCTTTTACTAGGACAATGCCGACATTCATTCCCCTCGTCATGCTGTCCTCCATGTCTGTGGGCTTCACAAAGAAAGGAAAAAATATTTTAGTATTGAGTATTTTTTAGTATTCTTCAGTATTTGTCTATGAGAAACAAGAACATGTTTCGGCATTATGGCATGCCGTTTAGGAAATTAAATATATATGGAATGAATGTTTGAATATATGGAATGAAAACCGACGTCATCAAGGCACTGGCGCCATCTTTAGTATAGGCCTATCAGCTTCGACCTGAAGTGTTATTTCCACCAACATCTCTCCTTCAAGAAAGATGCACAATGTTCTTTCAGCAATGTTTTGTTGAACATGATTACTCATAAGAGGGTGTCCTGGCTGGGGGCTTCGCAGCCTGGTTCGGCGGCTGTGCTGTCCTCGGGCGCGGAGCTCTGCAAAGAGTGATGGGGTCGCCGGGACTGGGCTGCCAGCCGTCTGGGACCTGTACAGCCAGCGCTGCGGGGGGAGGGCGCGGTGCGTCCTCTCTGGCTCCGGCCATCAGGCAGGTGGTTCAGGAGCATCCGAACCAGGACCAGCAGGTTCAGAGACAGCTTCTACCCGCACGCCATCAGACTACTGACCTGCTGAGAAACCCTACACTCACACACTCGCCACTTTAAGACTCTACTGTTTACTTTAAATAGAAATAAAATAACATTATAATTGAGGATAGATTAAAGTGCAAATGTTAAAAGATAAAAAAAACAGTAGAGTCTTAAACTGGCGAGTGTGTGTGTGTGCGCGTCTGTGTAGGGTCTCTCAGCAGGTCAGTGGTCTGATGGCGTGCAGCGTGTTCAACAAAACATTGCTGAAAGAACATTATGCATCATTCTTGAAGGAGAGATGTTGGTGGAAATAACACTTCAGGTAGAAGCTGATAGGCCTATACTAAAGATGGCGCCAGTGCCTTGATGACGCAGTTTCATTTAATATATTCAAACATTCATTCAATATATTCTAAGTTAATTTCCTAAACGGCATGCCGTAACCAAAATTGATAGGGTCAATAAAATGGGGACAGTTTTCCACATACATTGGCATTAAAACATTTACAGCCAGCAACAGAGTTTCATCAGTTCATTCAGTAACAATAACTAAGCTTACCTCTGCAGTCCTGAGGAACTCACAGAGTTTCTTCACGGAGGAAATATGGCAGGCCCCTCAGAATGACAGCCCTTTTTGTTTGGTTGGAATTCTGTTAAAAGACAGAATACATTATTAAAGCCACCAGCAACTCAAGTAGATGTGGCCATGAGGACACCTCACTTTAATAACAATCTATGGCGTGAACTTTGAGAGATTGATTTCAGAGAGATGACATGCGTTGTCAACCCTGCATGATGTTAAAAAAAAGTCTAAAAGTCTAAAATGATGCTATATTACAAGATTTCAGCATTAAGGTAAAATTACAGTCATGACTTTGCACAGGCATACTAACCTAAAAACAGCTTATTGGGAATCATGAGAAAGTTTCAGTGTGACAGAGACACAAGAGTCCTCTCAAGTACAGTAACTCACTGTCCCTGCTGTGTGCTCACGGTATGAGAGGAGAGACACTGCTGCTGCTGGAAGAGTTTCTGACTGAGATTACTCTGAGCACGGGAATCAATTACACTTTACTAGCTTGTGAATATTTCTCTTTTCTCTGAATAACGTAACAGCCGCTCTCTGTCTGTGCGCATGCGTGGCTCTTTTTAGCGCCGACATTATCAGTTATGAATGTGTTTTTGTTTTTTTAACTTTGTGAGTATATTGGACGTGAGACCTAGAGTCTCATGGTCATCATGACATACCCCTGAAAAACCAATCCATCCGAGCTGGGCTGAAACTAGCTAACTGTTACAACATCAATATTACTACAAGCTACGTTAGCTACTGCTGACTTAGCAAGTTAGCAAAAGAAAGACAAGACAAAAGCAACTTAATTAACTCAACCCACCTTGATGACAAACTGTGGAGCAGGCACCAGTTTGTTCCTGAGGAGAGAGGAGAGTGTCTCTGTGCAGCGGCTGTGGGTTTCTCCGTCACACTGAGCTCACCTGCCGGCCTCGCGCTGCAGACAGGGAGGCGGGGTCACGCGCGACACCGCAGTTACACACAAGTTTAAATCAGAGATATCATTAAATATTAAAATATATATAAATATATTCAAATTATTTCTCTTATTTTCAAATATCTTTTGATATAGGTTTTGCTGAGCTAGAATTTTGTTCAAAACGACATTAATGCTGAACAGAAGCAGGTCCACCTGGTTGCTTCTGGTGATTAATGCAAATAAAAGGCTAAACATTTATTATAATACTAATTATAATTATAGAATAATTATGTGCCAAACTCTTAGCTATCACTTAAAGCTAGCTATCTTAGTTACCTCAGATTCCAGCAGGGTAATTCAAACTACCGAATAGATTTGGAAGTGGTGAAAGAGAGAAAATGGCGGACAGCAGAAACGTTTTGTTTGGAGACGTTAGTTGAACGTGCCTACGTCAGCCAATGACAGAAGCAATTATCCGTACATCCTTTTGACTGACATTCTTAATTTCAATTGAATCATGTTTCTTAGTTTGAAAACTTTTCACTAGTTGAGGAGACATAAACACAACATTCTGAGTTATCACAACTGTTTCAATAGTTTGTAGTCATACTGACAATGAATTAGAAGTTATCATGACTAATGGGCACAACTAGTTTTTACAGTGTGGTTGGTAATTTTCTATTGTAATGATTGAATCGTATCCAGTTATCAGCAGGAATTGTTAAACACCCACTGATTGATCTGTTGAAATGAAATCCCAGCCCACTGAAGGGATTAAACGCATGCTGACCAGAAGGTCATATTGCATACACTGTCAGCCAGCGTCAACTGGCCTTTCGAGAAACTGCAGTTTTTGCCACTTTTGCTTTGGCATAGGCATGAAGCAGGATTAAACCAACAAGGTCAAGTTAAACATGTAGTTCTCTTGGCCGAGAAATAGCAAGAGTGTAAAACACCATGATCATCTAATAGAACAAAGTGACTGTTTCATAATAAATGTATAGTATAGCATATATCAATTAAGCTTAAACAAACTACTGTTTCTGTCACTCTTTCCGATACAACCAATTACATCTCAACTTCCAGCTTATCACATCTGCAGCTCTTTCACTTGGCCCTTAACCCTCTCCTTGGGTGTGTCCTGGAAACTTTCAATTTAATCCTCTCATTCTATTGATTGTCCATCTGTCTTTTTGCAGTCCTTCTCTTAAGACGCCGACCATTGCCCTAGAAGTTTTGTCCAACAGGAACAAAATTACTTTCTGCCAAACAGTAGTTGAAACCTTTTTGAGATGTTCCAGCTGACATATCCACCAAAAAATCTTTACACAGTGTCATGAGCAACCTCTTAATGGAACATGATGGAACCATTACTTTGTTTTCTTCATTGATCAATCTAGTTGTCAGCCTTTACTATCACCTGACTTTTGATAGCTACATAATGCAACTCTGTAAAGCCTCTTTCTTCCACCTGAAGAGCATTTCAGAGCTGTGTCACACTCTGACTTAGTCAGAGAAGTAGGCCCAGGCATTTTATCCCCTTCAGGTGTAAAGGTTGTTATGTCTGGCTGGCAGAAGTCTCCAGAAGCTCCAGTGCATTGAGATCAGTACTGACAAGGACATATAAACAACACCAGAGTCCAGCATCACTGCACTGGCAGTCTGTCTCCTCCAGGACACAATTCAAACATGATGTTCTGACTTTCCAGTATATACACAGAAAAACCTACCCCACAAACTCCCCCCATGCACACCCTCAGGTCAAACAATGTCCTGCTGCTCGAGACCACAGGACTATAGATCCACATCACTGGGGACTCTACCTCCTATGTAGCTGCTCTCCAACTGTGGAACAAACTACTTGACCACCTGAGGGTAACACAGAAGGCGGGCTCTATTAATCCTAAAAATCTATGTTTACAGAATGCCATTAGCTGTGAGTAGTAGTCTGGAAAATGTATGTTTTTGTTGTTTTATTGTCTGGTTTTAATGATAATTTTTCTTAAAACTTAAAATTAAGAGTCTAATTGCATGGTCCTAAGGATAGCAATGTTAGTCTACCACTTTGGTACAGTCTGGAATATTTCAAAAACAAAGATTCATGTTACCATAAGATAAATACTACTGACACTGGTGATCCCATGACTTCTCCTCCAGCACCACCGTGAGGTCGACATTTGTGGTTTTAAGGAAAATGTCTAAACAACCATTGGATGGTTTGACATCAAATTTGATACAGACAACATGCTAAAACTAACATGTTAAAACTAAGATGGTTAAAATGGTACACATTATACCTGCTAAACAGCTAAGCATGCTAACACTGCCACTGAGCATGTTAGCATGCAGACAGTCAGGCACTAAAAGCCCTTGATTAAGGAAATATCATATTTTGTATTGAAAAAGTAGAAAGTGACATGAAGCACAAGTAGGATGTGTTAACCAGTCTGCAGTGGATAGTACCTATCAAAAGTAGTCCAAGGAAGGAAAAGCGGTGAACCGGCGACAGGGTCATGAGCAGCCAAGCCTCATTGATACACATGGGGAGTGAAGGCTGACCCAGACGAGCTACTGTAGCTCAAATTGTTGAAAAAGTTCATGCTGGTCCTGATAGAAAAGTGTCAGAACACACAGTGCATCACAATTTGTTGTGTATGAGACTTTGTAATATTATGACCACCAGGGTGCCCAGGTGATCATAATGTTATGGCTGATCAGTGTAAATGGCACAAATTAGTACAAACAACAAATTAGTAGCATATAAATGTAATTTCAAGGAGACAGAGTTGTGCAAAGAGACCATAAACCCAATCTGGAGCTACATAAGTCTGAAGTATATCACATGTTTGTGGCATACACTTCTGCACAGCTATTTTTAACTGAAGTATCGCCACCCTCTGATAATGTAGATCTTGCTGCTGGTGAACTCACCTGGAGCTACATGGTCTTATCTGCCTTTGCTCTGATTTAAACCCACAAAAGTGAGAGTGCTGCAATGCATGCAGTTTTGAGTTACGGCTAGGTCGGTAATGGAAACTCAGCCTTCGGGTTATATTAGACGCATGAGTTTTCTCATCAAACCAGAGAGCATGGTAATATAGTTGGTACAGGAAAACCTGGAAGGGTTGTTGTGATTGTTGGGAATCAGGGGGCTGGTCGCTGAGGTCAGTTAAGGTTTGAGATGATGATGTAAGAAGCGAGAGAAAAGATTATGTTGCAGGATGAAGGCTGGTAGTGCTGAGTCCAGTGCAAAGTGGAAACTAAAAGAAGCAGGAGGATTTCTCACAGTGCTGTGTGGAATGTTGTGTTTTTGTGTGAATTAGATGTCTTGCTGACTTGTGATGATTTTCAAATTTCCTGTCGGAAAAATGATGTTGTCTTGTGAAATGTTCAGCATGACACCTTCTGTAAATGCATGACATTCTAGCTAAATTAAATTCTTCCAAAGAAAAGACATGCCAAACAATGGTGTAGCATAGTTCCTATCAAAGCAAGAATAATGCCGGTGGAGATAAGCTAAAGTACGTACACCTTTACAAAAATGTGATAGCACACAATGGTATTTGTCACAGAAGTGTGACTGAAGTTGCTGAGAGGTGGTCATTTCTCACTTAATGTACAATGTCTTGAATACTTTAAAAGTCTGTATCATTGCAGGCCATTTTCTCCCTTAACCAACATTGTTCAGCCTAATGTGGCAAAGACACTGTGAGTCTGAGTGATCTGAAAAAGGATTTCAGAGAAAAACGACTGCAGCCTCACCAAGTGTATCAGCCAGCCTAGCGTTGATAGCCTTATCAGAACACTCCACAGAGAGCTCACAGCCAAACTTTTCACATCAGTGTGCTGCTTCTGTTGTTTCTGTGCTCAGTGGAAAGACATAAAGTGTGTATGTGTCTGTTAGAAAGAGAGAGGGAAAGACAGACAGGCAGAGATAGATACTCTGTAATGAGTTTCCATAAAGCACTCTCAGTGTGCTATCATTGTCGTGATTTTATGAATTCATCATAAAAGAGTGAGTAAATGTCACAGCTGAAGGTAATAGAACGGGATGCTGCGTTCAAAATGAAAGCCCAGAAGAGTAACAGAATGAAGAGGGGGAAAAAAGGAAATTGTAGGGGCTCCTGTGATGATTCGCCTGATAACAAAAGCCATGGCTGGTGTTGTTCATGTGTGCTGTCTTTACCGGGGGACTCACAGAGATAGAGGGTGTTCGCTGGGAGAGAGCTGGCCATGTCTCTAAATAAAACACGACATTGATTTATGAGTGTGAGTCAGCTACTAGTGCAGCAGGTCTCTACAATCACTTGCAGTAACACACGCACTCACATACACAATCACAGTGCAGTTAAACCACTCAGTACATTCTTGCACTGTACATCAGCAATTCCACTTCAGTTCTACAGACAGAGCACAGCTTTGGGCACAGGTTTTTTAAATTTATTTTTTTACTTTTTTTGGTATTATTCATTCCACAGCTATCTTCCTTTTAAACTCAAGAATGCTCTTCGGCCGACATTATCACAATGAAACCAACTTCAAAGCGGGGAAGTTATTTAATTAATAAAAAAACAATCAGTCGGCATTTCAGTTTGAACATGAAAGTGACTGGTCTGTTTGTGTAACATGATTGATATTGTGGAGTTTCTGTCCCAGCACAGTGAGGTTTAAACACAGAAGTTGTTAGTAACGTCTGTGCAGGCCAGCAGCAAATAAACAGTGAGGAAGTAATAAATTCTCCCTGGAAGTTCCTGTTTATAAAGTCACAGTTATGAGTTGTTGATGCTGTATTAATACCACTACTGTTATCTTGCTGTGCGGCTGGGTGTTTTGCCTTTCTCTCATTTATGTACTGTTTTAATGAAAACCAAGGATGACAAGGTTTTACTCGCTTTATGTTCTTTTTATGTCTGAGACAAATGAGCAGAAACTATTATCTAGAGTCCCAGCAATAATGCACTTAACTTTCTTTAATTTCTTTGACATTTTGCAGGAGAATATTGCTTGCTGCTGCAAATAGTATCAATCCCAACAGGTCAAATGCGTAGGCTACAGTATGCAGGAAGAACTGTCACTTTAAAATTGAAATTGACAGTTTTCAGGAGTAGACCCAGATGCAGAAACAAGATGACAGGTGATATGTTTAAGGTAGTTTTAATGGTTATTCGCTTCTCAATTCACTGTACATCCGGAAGAACGGAGGAGGAGGGATGGAAAAGTTGGACTTTCTGGCTGGCTGCAGGAAAAGGCTGAAAGAAACAGAAATAAAGTAGTGAATGTACAGTATAGCAGGCTGCAGTTGAATGACTGATGTGATACAGTAGGTGAGTAAAAGCAGAATTAACAAGAAGGTTATCAAAAAACTTTGCAGATGATTCAAAAACTTGATGACCTGACAAAGAAATCAGACAGGACTAACGTAGAATTCACATCATATCCTTCAGATTGCAATTACGACCAGAAAAGTGGGAAAAAACTTTGACATCAGTCTTCAAGTTGTTATTCTGAGTCGAGATATCA